AACTTACTATGCATACTAATTGACTCCTCCTGATATTACATCAGCCAGAGAGTAGACCATATATCACATATTGAACATATTGCTGGCCAAAGAGTCCTCAAATATTATTTTATTACAATGAGTATTGACGCCTTCTGCTACTGGAACGAGGAAGGACCAATGACCAATGAGAGAGGAATGTTTATTCTAATCAATTTATTTTTAATTATTATTATTATTTATTTATTTATTTTTTTGTGGGTGGGAGGGTTCTGGAAGGGTTTAAATTGAGACAGTCTGTAATTTCTTATTTTTAATTGAATGTATCATTATGTGTTGTCTTGTTAAATACCAATAAAAAATAAAAAATAAAAAAACATCATCAAAAAAAAAAACATCACCTTGAGAAGTTAAGATTTTTGCTTTCAGGATCCCTTAAAACTTTTCAGAAGACCTGGGAACCTGTCCTAGACTACATAAAAGGTTTACTTTGTTCTCCTGACACTAATGCTATTACACAATAATTGACTGCTACTGGAACGAGGAAGGACCAATGACCAATGAGAGAGGAATGTTTATTCTAATCAATTTATTTTCAATTATTATTATTATTTATTTATTGATTTTTTTGTGGGTGGGAGGGTTCTGGAAGGGTTTAAATTGAGACAGTCTGTAATTTCTTGTTTTTAATTGAATGTATCATTATGTGATGTCTTGTTAAATACCAATAAAAACAAACAAAAAAACAACATTATCAACTCACCCATACAGATGTCCATATTTGACCTACTGAATATATTTCTGGCCAGAGAGTCCTCGGTCCTGAACTTATTATCCATATTCACTGACTCCTTATGTTACATCAGCCACAGAGAATAGTGCATTACTGACCCATTGAACATATTTCTGGCCAAAAAGTCACTGAGCAATAACTTACTATGCATACTAATTGACTCCTTCTGATGTTACATCAGCCAGAGAGTAGACCATATTTGACCTTTTGAACATGGTTTTAGCAAATGATCCTGTAACTTTGACTTGTTATACATCCTCATAATCTTTTTCTGATGTAACATCATGCAGACATTAGTCCAATTTTGACCTTTTGAGAATATTTATGGCCAAAGAGTTCCTAAGAGTAAGACTCATAGACTTTTTCATCAACCACACAGTAGTCCATTTTTGACCCAGAGAACACATTTCTGGCTAAAGAGATCTCGATCTTGGTGTTCATTCTCATTGACTCCTCGTGATGTTACATCAGCCATACATTAGTCCATATTTGACCAATTGAAGTCAAATATTTGACTTCGAGAACATATTTCTGGCCAAAGATCCATCAATGAGACATCTTTGGATGTTTCATCTACAATACATTAATCCATATTTGACATTGAACATTGACTTTGACTGATGAAATAGGTCAAATATGGAATAATTTATGCCTGATAAAACATCAGAAGGAGTGTACGAGATTCTATATGAAAGTTCATATGAAAGTTCCTCGAAGGACTATTTCATCAGACATGTTCAATTGGTCAAATATGGATTAATGTATTGTAGATGAAACATCAAAAGAAGTCTCATTGATGGATCTTTGGCCAGAAATATGTTCTGTAGGTCAAATATTTACTTCAATTGGTCAAATATGCACTGATTATATGTATGTATGACTGATGAAACATCAGGAGAGGAGACAATGAGAATGTTCAGAAATTTCAGGATCGAGATCTCTTTGGCCAGAAATATGTTCAAAAGGTCAAATAGGGCTGATGACTTTATCTTTTTCAACATATTCTAATTTGCATTAATAAGTCTTTTTTTTTTTTACAAAATGTGATGGTATTTTGCGTTCATTTATCTGGGGAAACAAACCGGCGCGACTCAAGAAATCAGTTCTTCAGCTCCCCAAGGACTTGCACTTCCCAACTTTCAACAATATTACTGGGCTTGTAACATTAATAAGATTCTTTATTGGAACATTTCTGTCCACACTGATAAATGCCCCCCTTGGGTCCATTCAGAGATTGCCTCAACGAAAGGCACTTTGTATTCTGTTATTTGTTTTCAACTTCCCTTAGCTATTAGTAAAATATCAACTAATCCAATTGTCACTAACACTGTCAAAATTTGGGTCCAGTTTAGGAAACATTTTGGTTTACACAGAACTTCTATTCACACACCTATCTTAAATAATCATATTTTCTCCCCATCTTGCTCTGATCCTGCTTTTCGAATCTGGTCAGTTAACGGACTTGTCGAGCTGAATGATTTGTATGAAGATGGGGTGTTTGCATCCTTTTCCGTCTTTGTCCGCTAAGTACAATCTGCCCAATAGTCATTTGTTTCGTTTCTTCCAGATTAGACACTTTGTTCAGAAGCTGTTTCCCCACTTTCCCAACCGTCCGCCTGAATGCCCTCTTGATCATTTTCTCACGTTAGGTGCAGGCCAGAAACATCTAATTTCAGTTATTTACAACTTAATAAGTACACTTAATGTATAGACCCTACTGTTTCTCTGAGAGAGTTGTGGGAGAATGACCTGGGTGTTTCTATTACCGATGATCAATGGGACGAAATTCTAAGATTAGTCCATTGCAATAGGCCATGTCTGGCACATATAAGAGCAATGTAAGGTGCTCCACCGAGCTCATCTAACTAATGCCAGATTGGCAAAATTTTTCCCAGATGTGAGTGATGCTTGTCATCGTTGCAAGCAGTCTCCTGCTAATCATCTTCATATGTTCTGGAGCTGTCCTCAGATGACAGACTTTTGGTCCAATGTTTTTTACACTTAATAATGCTCTTAACATAGAGTTGGACCCCAACCCCCTGACTGCTCTTTTTGGCATTCCTTCGAGACCTGACTTGTCTATCTCATCTCGCCAGGTTATTGCCTTAACTTCTCAAGGTTTATACAGCTAAAAAAGTAAAGATTTTTGCTTTCAGGATCCCTTAAAACTTTTCAGAAGACCTGGGAACCTGTCCTAGACTACATAAAAGGTTTACTTTGTTCTCCTGACACTAATGCTATTACACAATAATTGACTGCTACTGGAACGAGGAAGGACCAATGACCAATGAGAGAGGAATGTTTATTCTAATCAATTTATTTTCAATTATTATTATTATTATTATTTTTATTTTTTTGTGGGTGGGAGGGTTCTGGAAGGGTTTAAATTGAGATAGTCTGTAATTTCTTATTTTTAATTGAATGTATCATTATGTGATGTCTTGTTAAATACCAATAATAAAAAAATAAAAAAATAAAAATAGGGCTGATAAAACATCAATGAGGATGAACAACAAGATCGAGGACACTTCGACCAGAAATATGTTCAATTGGTCAAATACTGTGTGGCTGATGAATCATCAGAAAAGGTCTATGAGTATGTATAGTCTTACTCTTAGGAACTCTTTGGCCATATGCTCAAAAGGTCAAAATTGGACTAATGTCTGCATGATGTTACATCAGAAAAAGATTATGATGTATAAAAAGTTAAAGTTACAGGATCATTTGCTAAAAACATGTTCAGTAGGTCAAGACTATTTGTGTGGTTGATGAATCATCAGAAGAAGTCTTTGAGTAAATGATGACAGAATTTTTGGATGCAAACTCAAACTTATACACTTTAAATTATGCAAATTGGTTATTTTGACATAAATGATGGAGGCGAGTAATTCAACATTAAACATTAAACATGTGGATTCAGCGCGTATACCAGATGTGTTACGATATATTTTGTAAACAATGTTAAGAATGAGAGTATGTCCTAATCACGAGGTGTTTCTTTAATCCAGTGTAATGAATGAGCAGTTCGAGAGCAGTTCTTCACAGAAAACGCATGTATAATGCATGTAATTCAGTCGTAACTTCTGTCACAGCAACACTTAAAGCCTCCAGACTCTCCTCGCGTGTGATCACACATCACAATGATTAGAAGCTTTCTGGACAAATAATTAAGTGTGATTGTAATATCACACTGATATTTTGATTATTGGATTATTTTGGATATTGGATTATTAGATTATTCTGGTCACATCATTCTGATATTTTTTCTTTTTTTTTAATGCATTTTTTGTTGTTATTTATTATTTTATTTACCTCGTAATAACTTTAACAATAATTACATTTTAACAAAAAAATTAACACATTCTTTAATTTAAATATAATTATTAATAATTTAAAAATAACTGCATTGCATGCAAAGATCAGTTAAAACACCATAAAAGGCATTGCACTGGGTGTCGCTGCCGACCTCTTGTGGACAGACCAGTATAACATGGGCTTTCAGGACCACTGCCACTAGATGGAGCAAACGACCACTGGGAACCACACTCCCATTTCAAGTCAATTTGCTTCAGGTGCTATTTAGATATTGCAAAATCATTTTGGGGAAAATGTTTGAGCATTTTCAGTTTGAAGCCACTCAGATAGGAGATGTGGAGATTATTATTATGTTATAGAATATAGTATATATTTAATATAGATTTAAAACAAGAGGTAATAGGTTTGATCATTAGATTGGCAGTCTAGAAACAGTAAAATCACATTTCAATTGAAAATCAATTCCACCTAATTTTCAACATGACAGATGAGTTGGTTATTTATCGAGTTATTTAGACGAGTTATCTGATCTATTCCAAAACAATGTGTTAATTAAAACCCAGTGTTTTAATTAACCTTTAAGCCTTTTATGATGTTTTACAGTTTTTCTCAGTCGCTCGCCCCTATTTGTAAACACTTAAACACATTTTAAAGGCTTTATAGAAATCTACAAATAAAGCTTAAATTATGTTCTCCTAAAGGTGTTTGTGCATTTGTAACCTTTGCTTCTTTAATTGAAAAAAAAGAAGAAAAAAAAAGAATAATGATGTGCACGGGAAAATCATTTACAATAAATATTGCAATATTCTGTTAAAAAAAAAAAGATCGATTTTGATTCATGGTGACTTTAAGTGAATGTCGTCACTTCCTCAGTGACCGTCACTATGGTTACGGTAAACAGACACGGCAGGACAGCAGTGGGTGCAACTGAATGTTCATTCGCGACGCTGATCCGCATAATTTATAATCAAACAAACAAACAAACAAACAAAGAAACGGGCTCCACTTTTGTCTTGTTGTGAAAGCGACAGAAGCTGGTGAGAAATAACTGATCTCTTGCCAGAAAATGGCTTTTCTTTTTCTCTATAAATAATTTAAAGCGAAAGTGCGATTGACTGTTTTGCAGAGGAAGACATGACCGACTCATCCAGTTTATCAAGCTCTAGTTTCTACCTCCTCTTCATCAGATGCTCAGCTCAAACAGAGTAATTCAACTGCTACTAAATGCACTGTGCACTGTAAATAAACAATGACTGAAAATCAGGTGATGAGCTTTTTACGTTGAAATAGCAAGCAAATACAGAAGTAAACATTTGAAGTGGATCAAAAAAGTTCATCAGCTGTCCTATTTCAACGTAAAAAGCTCATCACCTGATTTTCAGTCATTTTATTTCAAAGCAGTATTGCATGTCTATAATCTAAAGTATTGTCATGTTTGTCTGAGCAGATGTTCAGAGCGAGGCCAGCTGTGTCCAGGACTCCTCAGGTGTTATTTAGAGGAGTGTGTGTTACCTGTGTATAATGCATGTTTGTCTGAGCAGATGTTCAGAGCGAGGCCAGCTGTGTCCAGGACCCCTCAGGTGTTATTTAGAGGAGTGTGTGTTACCTGTGTATAATGCATGTTTGTCTGAGCAGATGTTCAGAGCGAGGCCAGCTGTGTCCAGGACTGCTCAGGTGTTATTTAGAGGAGTGTGTGTTACCTGTGTATAATGCATGTTTGTCTGAGCAGATGTTCAGAGCGAGACCAGCTGTGTCCAGGACTCCTCAGGTGTTATTTAGAGGAGTGTGTGTTACCTGTGTATAATGCATGTTTGTCTGAGCAGATGTTCAGAGCGAGACCAGCTGTGTCCAGGACCCCTCAGGTGTTATTTAGAGGAGTGTGTGTTACCTGTGTATAATGCATGTTTGTCTGAGCAGATGTTCAGAGCGAGACCAGCTGTGTCCAGGACCCCTCAGGTGTTATTTAGAGGAGTGTGTGTTACCTGTGTATAATGCATGTTTGTCTGAGCAGATGTTCAGAGCGAGACCAGCTGTGTCCAGGACCCCTCAGGTGTTATTTAGAGGAGTGTGTGTTACCTGTGTATAATGCATGTTTGTCTGAGCAGATGTTCAGAGCGAGACCAGCTGTGTCCAGGACCCCTCAGGTGTTATTTAGAGGAGTGTGTGTTACCTGTGTATAATGCATGTTTGTCTGAGCAGATGTTCAGAGCGAGACCAGCTGTGTCCAGGACCCCTCAGGTGTTATTTAGAGGAGTGTGTGTTACCTGTGTATAATGCATGTTTGTCTGAGCAGATGTTCAGAGCGAGACCAGCTGTGTCCAGGACCCCTCAGGTGTTATTTAGAGGAGTGTGTGTTACCTGTGTATAATGCATGTTTGTCTGAGCAGATGTTCAGAGCGAGGCCAGCTGTGTCCAGGACTCCTCAGGTGTTATTTACAGGAGTGTGTGTTACCTGTGTATAATGCATGTTTGTCTGAGCAGATGTTCAGAGCGAGGCCAGCTGTGTCCAGGACCCCTCAGGTGTTATTTAGAGGAGTGTGTGTTACCTGTGTATAATGCATGTTTGTCTGAGCAGATGTTCAGAGCGAGACCAGCTGTGTCCAGGACCCCTCAGGTGTTATTTAGAGGAGTGTGTGTTACCTGTGTATAATGCATGTTTGTCTGAGCAGATGTTCAGAGCGAGGCCAGCTGTGTCCAGGACCCCTCAGGTGTTATTTAGAGGAGTGTGTGTTACCTGTGTATAATGCATGTTTGTCTGAGCAGATGTTCAGAGCGAGACCAGCTGTGTCCAGGACCCCTCAGGTGTTATTTAGAGGAGTGTGTGTTACCTGTGTATAATGCATGTTTGTCTGAGCAGATGTTCAGAGCGAGACCAGCTGTGTCCAGGACCCCTCAGGTGTTATTTAGAGTGTGTGTGTGTTACCTGTGCATGTTTGTCTGAGCAGATGTTCAGAGCGAGGCCAGCTGTGTCCAGGACCCCTCAGGTGTTATTTAGAGGAGTGTGTGTTACCTGTGTATAATGCATGTTTGTCTGAGCAGATGTTCAGAGCGAGGCCAGCTGTGTCCAGGACTCCTCAGGTGTTATTTAGAGGAGTGTGTGTTACCTGTGTATAATGCATGTTTGTCTGAGCAGATGTTCAGAGCGAGGCCAGCTGTGTCCAGGACTCCTCAGGTGTTATTTACAGGAGTGTGTGTTACCTGTGTATAATGCATGTTTGTCTGAGCAGATGTTCAGAGCGAGGCCAGCTGTGTCCAGGACCCCTCAGGTGTTATTTAGAGGAGTGTGTGTTACCTGTGTATAATGCATGTTTGTCTGAGCAGATGTTCAGAGCGAGACCAGCTGTGTCCAGGACCCCTCAGGTGTTATTTAGAGGAGTGTGTGTTACCTGTGTATAATGCATGTTTGTCTGAGCAGATGTTCAGAGCGAGGCCAGCTGTGTCCAGGACCCCTCAGGTGTTATTTAGAGGAGTGTGTGTTACCTGTGTATAATGCATGTTTGTCTGAGCAGATGTTCAGAGCGAGACCAGCTGTGTCCAGGACCCCTCAGGTGTTATTTAGAGGAGTGTGTGTTACCTGTGTATAATGCATGTTTGTCTGAGCAGATGTTCAGAGCGAGACCAGCTGTGTCCAGGACTGCTCAGGTGTTATTTAGAGTGTGTGTTACCTGTGTATAATGCATGTTTGTCTGAGCAGATGTTCAGAGCGAGGCCAGCTGTGTCCAGGACTCCTCAGTTGTTATTTAGAGGAGTGTGTGTTACCTGTGTATAATGCATGTTTGTCTGAGCAGATGTTCAGAGCGAGGCCAGCTGTGTCCAGGACCCCTCAGGTGTTATTTAGAGGAGTGTGTGTTACCTGTGCATAATGCATGTTTGTCTGAGCAGATGTTCAGAGCGAGGCCAGCTGTGTCCAGGACTGCTCAGGTGTTATTTAGAGGAGTGTGTGTTACCTGTGTATAATGCATGTTTGTCTGAGCAGATGTTCAGAGCGAGACCAGCTGTGTCCAGGACTCCTCAGGTGTTATTTAGAGGAGTGTGTGTTACCTGTGTATAATGCATGTTTGTCTGAGCAGATGTTCAGAGCGAGACCAGCTGTGTCCAGGACCCCTCAGGTGTTATTTAGAGGAGTGTGTGTTACCTGTGTATAATGCATGTTTGTCTGAGCAGATGTTCAGAGCGAGACCAGCTGTGTCCAGGACCCCTCAGGTGTTATTTAGAGGAGTGTGTGTTACCTGTGTATAATGCATGTTTGTCTGAGCAGATGTTCAGAGCGAGGCCAGCTGTGTCCAGGACTCCTCAGGTGTTATTTACAGGAGTGTGTGTTACCTGTGTATAATGCATGTTTGTCTGAGCAGATGTTCAGAGCGAGGCCAGCTGTGTCCAGGACCCCTCAGGTGTTATTTAGAGGAGTGTGTGTTACCTGTGTATAATGCATGTTTGTCTGAGCAGATGTTCAGAGCGAGACCAGCTGTGTCCAGGACCCCTCAGGTGTTATTTAGAGGAGTGTGTGTTACCTGTGTATAATGCATGTTTGTCTGAGCAGATGTTCAGAGCGAGGCCAGCTGTGTCCAGGACCCCTCAGGTGTTATTTAGAGGAGTGTGTGTTACCTGTGTATAATGCATGTTTGTCTGAGCAGATGTTCAGAGCGAGACCAGCTGTGTCCAGGACCCCTCAGGTGTTATTTAGAGGAGTGTGTGTTACCTGTGTATAATGCATGTTTGTCTGAGCAGATGTTCAGAGCGAGACCAGCTGTGTCCAGGACCCCTCAGGTGTTATTTAGAGTGTGTGTGTGTTACCTGTGCATGTTTGTCTGAGCAGATGTTCAGAGCGAGGCCAGCTGTGTCCAGGACCCCTCAGGTGTTATTTAGAGGAGTGTGTGTTACCTGTGTATAATGCATGTTTGTCTGAGCAGATGTTCAGAGCGAGGCCAGCTGTGTCCAGGACTCCTCAGGTGTTATTTAGAGGAGTGTGTGTTACCTGTGTATAATGCATGTTTGTCTGAGCAGATGTTCAGAGCGAGGCCAGCTGTGTCCAGGACTCCTCAGGTGTTATTTACAGGAGTGTGTGTTACCTGTGTATAATGCATGTTTGTCTGAGCAGATGTTCAGAGCGAGGCCAGCTGTGTCCAGGACCCCTCAGGTGTTATTTAGAGGAGTGTGTGTTACCTGTGTATAATGCATGTTTGTCTGAGCAGATGTTCAGAGCGAGACCAGCTGTGTCCAGGACCCCTCAGGTGTTATTTAGAGGAGTGTGTGTTACCTGTGTATAATGCATGTTTGTCTGAGCAGATGTTCAGAGCGAGGCCAGCTGTGTCCAGGACCCCTCAGGTGTTATTTAGAGGAGTGTGTGTTACCTGTGTATAATGCATGTTTGTCTGAGCAGATGTTCAGAGCGAGACCAGCTGTGTCCAGGACCCCTCAGGTGTTATTTAGAGGAGTGTGTGTTACCTGTGTATAATGCATGTTTGTCTGAGCAGATGTTCAGAGCGAGACCAGCTGTGTCCAGGACTGCTCAGGTGTTATTTAGAGTGTGTGTTACCTGTGTATAATGCATGTTTGTCTGAGCAGATGTTCAGAGCGAGGCCAGCTGTGTCCAGGACTCCTCAGTTGTTATTTAGAGGAGTGTGTGTTACCTGTGTATAATGCATGTTTGTCTGAGCAGATGTTCAGAGCGAGGCCAGCTGTGTCCAGGACCCCTCAGGTGTTATTTAGAGGAGTGTGTGTTACCTGTGCATAATGCATGTTTGTCTGAGCAGATGTTCAGAGCGAGGCCAGCTGTGTCCAGGACTGCTCAGGTGTTATTTAGAGGAGTGTGTGTTACCTGTGTATAATGCATGTTTGTCTGAGCAGATGTTCAGAGCGAGACCAGCTGTGTCCAGGACTCCTCAGGTGTTATTTAGAGGAGTGTGTGTTACCTGTGTATAATGTATGTTTGTCTGAGCAGATGTTCAGAGCGAGTCCAGCTGTGTCCAGGACCCCTCAGGTGTTATTTAGAGGAGTGTGTGTTACCTGTGTATAATGCATGTTTGTCTGAGCAGATGTTCAGAGCGAGGCCAGCTGTGTCCAGGACCCCTCAGGTGTTATTTAGAGGAGTGTGTGTTACCTGTGTATAATGCATGTTTGTCTGAGCAGATGTTCAGAGCGAGGCCAGCTGTGTCCAGGACCCCTCAGGTGTTATTTAGAGGAGTGTGTGTTACCTGTGTATAAG